GTTCTTAAGCAGTGACGGAGCATAATTTTATTCGAGAAAATTTGCTCGGAAAAAGAAAGGACAGAATCTAGGAATTCCGTTTGAAGCTTTCTTAGAGGCTGGCGGGGGAGGGAAATCCGCGACAAGAAACAAACGAAAATCTTCACCGGTACGGACGGTCTATATAAATGGAATGTTCTCGCCGCATATGCGAACCTTTGTCCCTTAAGTCCAACACTCAATTTGGCCCAATACTTAATTGGGCTTACAAAGATCCAACCGCTACTACGTTTTTGCCCTTTATGGGTTCAATTAGGTTTTGTCAAAGTAATTATTGCTTGTACCATAAGTTTTTCGTCAAATTAGTATCCTTATTTAGAAATTGTATGCAATTGAATTTTCTGCCTAACTCTAACTCTATAATATTGTAGACGTGGGATTGTCAAAAGACCAAATTAGCAATAGCCCTTTCGTTTTTCTAAGCTAGTAATCAACATGGAGAGTTTAGTATATTAGAGATTAATTAAATTTATACGTATGTTTAATTAAGTAAAATGTCAAATTTGAATGGTTGGTCAAAGATAAGTTTATGTATCATTTTTTTTAAAAAAAATTAGATTAGATTTTAGTTGAAACAAAAATATGTACGTATAGTAAGTGTATGACTTATCTTAGGAAAATGCTGAAAGTAAGCTTAAGGCTTGGAAGGTCTATAAATACTTGAGGTTTCCAAGGCTTTTATTGCATCTACACCTTTTGTGATTTCTCCTGACCAGCTACCTTAGAGCTTAAGCCTTAAAGCATTGCTCATATCAAACTAATGGAAAAAGTAAGAAAGCTTTTAGCACCCTCCAACTCATAGAGAGTTTATTACTATTCTCAGCATTGATGGAGGTAGAATTAGAGGAATCATTCCAGGAGTTATTCTCAGCTTTTTAGAGTCTGAGTTACAGGTGATCATATGTTATCAAACCTCTCCTGTAACCTGTTTCTGTGTATCATCAAAGAGGTGTTAATTGTATGATTATCTGATCATGTTTACTCTCGGTGCAGAAACTGGATGGCGAGCAAGCAAGAATTGCAAATTATTTTGATGTGGTAGCAGGGACGAGCACAAGTGGTCTTCTGACCACCATGTTAACAGCACCAAATGAGAAGAACAGACCCTTATTTGCTGCTCAAAAAATTAAGGCCTTTTACTTTGAGCATGGCCCTAGAATATTTCCTCAAAATAGGTAATAATATTGGATGAAAGCAAGAGCATATCCACAACAGAATTTCAAGCATTAACAAAGTCTTGTTTCAACAGATTTCCATTTCTTGGTGTTACAAATATGATTAAGAGAGTGCTCGTACTAAAATATGATGGCAAGTATCCCCATGGAGTTCTAAAGAAAAGGCTTGGAAACACAAGGCTGCACCAGACATTGACTATCGTTGTAATTCCAACTTTCGACATCAAGAAGCTGCAGCCAGTCATCTTTTCCAGCTATGAGGTTGGTCTTGAAGTTTCATCAACTATTTACTCTATGTCATGGGATATTGTTAGGAGAGGAGAGTTCACTTCTACTGATTTCTGTCTCAGGTGAAGAAAAGTCCATCCCTGAATACCCTACTCTCAGATATATGCTGTGATACCCAACATCCCACATCTGATGTGAATGTGATTGTTAAAACCTATATAACAATCTAAGTCTATCACTATTAGAAACTTGAATTTAAGCTTTTGAGGGCCACGTGGTTTAGGCTCAAAGAGTTGTTGGACCAGTGATTGGACTTGGGTAGTTACAAATGGTATCAGAGTCTGCACCAGTTCGATGTGAGCTTTCATATTGTTCTGATGAGATCTTGGTCATGTGGATGTGATGTGATCTTTCACATTGTTCTGGTGAGATCTTGGTCATGTGGATGTGATGTGTGACCTTGATGAGGACATTGACCTTGATGAGGTGGATGTGATGTGTGACCTTGATGAGGACATCAAGGATTTGAGTGGGTGGGATTGTGATACCGAACATCCCACATCTGATGTGAATGTGATTGTTAAGACCTATATAACAATCCAATTAAGTTTTTGAGTTCCAAAGTTGGAACCAAAGACTCTGAAGGAGAGGTGAAGAAGATCAACCAAGGGCCAAAGTTGGAACCAAAGACTTTGAAGGAGAGGTGAAGAAGATCAACCAAAGACTTTGAAGGAGAGGTGAAGAAGTTTAATCTTATTAATGGTGGGATGGCTGCTAATAATCTTGTAAGACAAAACTTCAACCCTTTGGAAAAACTCTTAATTATACTTTATTATTAAAGCATATATAATAATCCAAACTCTTAATTATACTTTATTATTAAAGCATATATAATAACAATCCTATATGTTCAATTCATATTGATTTTTACAGGCTTTAGTTGCCATTAGTGAAGTGACAAAACAGATCAACCGAGGGCATTGTGATTTCTCTTCCATAAAGGGAGCAAGCCATTACAGTAGATTCTTGGTGCTTTCCATAGGAACAGGCTCAGAAAAACTTGCAGAGAAGTACAATGCAAGCCAAGCAGCTCAATGGGGTCTACTTGGGTGGTTGACCTCCGGCCATTCCACCCCATTAGTTAATGCTTTACTGAAGGCAGTGCTGATATGGTTGATTTCCACATTTCTGTCATCTTCAAAGCTTTAGGTTCTGAAAAGAACTATCTTCGCATCCAGGTTAATTATAATCTACACTTATTTTTTTTGCTCCAAATTTATCAATCCCTCCCTCGCCATTCGGAGCCGCATCCTGAAACAATCGCAGGATGATAAGCTAATGGGGGAAGTCTCCTCTATTGATGTTTCCACAGAGGATAATCTCAAAAATCTTGTCACTGTTGCTGAAAACTTGTTGAATAAACCTGTTTCGAGGGTGAACTTCGAGACGGGTAACTATGAGCCTTCAGGAGAATTAGAAACCAACGCACAGGCTCTCAAAAGGTATATTATTCATTATTATTTTTCCAAGTATATACGTATTATTGTTTCTACTTTCTAGCCTCCATTAACACATGTTATCCAACCAAATCTGTCAGGTACGCAAAGCTGCTCTCTCAGGAGAAAGCCTGTCGTGAAAGGTCATCGTTGCCGAAGCTTGATGCATAATCAAAGATGAATATGTGAATTTCAAGTTCTGCAGAAGTTTTAAATTAGATATTTATAGTATGAAATAAATGTAATTGATTATGTTTCATCAAAATAAATGTAATTGATCATGCGGGTTTTCTGCTCATAATTAAGACATATGAAAGATTGATTAGCAATATCAAAACGATGAGCTCACCTGATCATAAAGGAAGTTACGGGATTAATTGAAATTACCATTTATGAACAAAGCATTCAATCAGATCCTAAACAAAAGAACATAGATTCCTGAAATAGAGTCATAACTAGTACTTCTAAAAGATAAGAACCGCACAAGACAAAACCAAACCAATTGCAACATCAACACGAAACGCAAAAATGATCCCCTGGCAACACGACACTCCCTTCTATTCACGTCCAATTTTACAATGAAATCCACGTTCTAAACACTAAAAAAAAAACAAAAATTTTCGTTAAAAAAGAGTCAAAATTTCATATTTTGTCAAAAAATTATTTTTTCACGTGTTATTATTTAATAAAATCCCATCAATAATACACAAAACAAAAAATAATTTTCACATTATTTTTTACAAATTTTTGTGTTAGGCGGGATCATTGCGTAGTAGCATCAGGATGACTCTATTGACTTTATTCAAGCATCTATAATTCTTACTATCTAAATGAGAAAGGAAAAACATTAATAACTAATCAAATTAATGCATAAGAAACCTGAGTAATAAAATTTTTGTGCACATATGGTTTGAAGTATAGTGTGTGTAAGAAATATCTTGAACAAATATAGCAGGCACAAGTTAATTATATCATCATTCCTAGTTGAGCTTTGAATTGGATTAATAGTATTGTTTTGACATGGCCGATTTTGTGAAAAAAAGACAACCTTCTCTCTTTAGGATAATGTCCACTTTACTGAATGTTGGTTCGTTTGCTTTCTTACCTACTGTTCTGGCCCGCCTATGTACGGAGCCTCACCAACAATTCTCGAGAATGACCAGTCAGGAAAGGGCAAGGATTTCAATAAGATAGGCATCCATGCTTTCAATTTCCAATTCCTTTTTAACGTGTTTGCAGTCCAAATTAACTTGATCCACCCGTTTCCATGGAAGTACAACTTTGGTCAAATTTGGTGCGATGCATTCCCCATTCTTGTGAAAATACGAGATTGTCAAAGTTACGTAACTGCCATGGAAATCTCAGGCAAGCTGATAAGCATGCCGTGCTATAATAGGTGCACTAGAATGCTTTACTTTTGTTGAACTGACAATCACTAATACAGTATTAAGGACTATAGATCAGTATTATGTCCCCTCGTTGGTTTATATCAGTATACGCCATATTGCTTTTCAAAAAAACAGTAACTGATACAACTACTCTGCCTATGCATACGTACTGTTGGAGAAAAGTAATTAGGCTTTTATTTTCTTAGGGGGGTTATTATTGCTAATCAAGGTTATATTGGGTGATTTTATGTTGGTAATAATGGTTTTGAGTTTAGGGGTTTAGTTTAAGAAATGAAATGCCAATATAGAAGGAGCAAATTCACCTTTACGACCTCCAACTTATGGAGAGTTAATCACCATCCTCAGGATGCATTGCCGGGGATGGATCCTTATCTTAGTTTTCTAGAATTGCAGACTGTTGTACAGAAGCTGGATGGTGAGGATGTAAAAATTGCAGGCTGTTTTGATGTAATTGCAGGGGGGGCTAGCATAGGAGGTCTGGTGACTGCCATGCTAACTGGTCCAAAGATATAAAGGAATTTTTCCTAAACAACAATCGTAGGATCTTCCCTTAACCAAGGTTTGCAATATAAGAGACTCGACTGGAATGCAGATCACCTCATTAATTAATTAACTAAATTGTTTTTGCAGTGGTTGTTGACATAATTTTTTTTAAAGAACAGTTATGTGCATTATTTGCTCAATCAACTAAAGTGATCAAAGCTCTTTTGGGACCAAAAAATGAAGGGAAGTATCTGCATAGCCTTGTCAAAGAGAAACTAGGAAACACAAGGTTGCACCAGACATTGACAAATGTTGTTATCCCACCATTCGACATCAAGAACCTCCAGCCAACAATCTTTTCCAGCGGTCAGGTTCTTGCTAATTTCTCTCCAATAACTCACCTTTATCAGCCATTCTTATTTCTTCATCGACTTAAATGATTGCTGAATTATTTTCTTACTCTCAGACCTATGCAACGCAGCCTCAGCACCACCAACTTATGTACCCGCCAATTATTTCAAAACAACAGATGACAGAGGGAAAGTTAAGGTGCTCAATCGCATAGATGATGCATTCATGGCAATCACGATATTAATTTCTTTTATAAGTTTCAGCATTCTAGCTAGCTGCCTATTAACCCATTTTGTAACCTTCTTTGTGGGGAAGTGACTATAAGGAGAACAGCAGGGGAAATTCTGATTTCTTTCCAATAAAACCAATGGACTATAGGGACGATTTCCTGTTATCTCGTCAGGGACTGGCTCAAGAAAGATTGAAGAGAAATACAGTGCAGATAAAGCAGTGAGAAATGGCGTTTTTTGGGCTGGTTAACCTGAGGCAATTCCACCCCAATAGTAGATGTCTTTACTCAAGCATTAAAATGGTGGGTGTTATCCACAATTTAACGTGAATTTCTATTAATTCAATGCATAAAAAATAAAGCTTCTTGCAAGAGAAATACTCCATTAAATAGAAGGATTACTTCTGTTTGTGCTGCCAATTGCTTTTTGAGCAGCTAAAGATATGATGCAAATGTACCGGGACTCAAAGAACCAAAGCTAGAGTTTCTATGTCACCAAAATCTCTCATCTACATAGTTTAAAACGTTGGAGTGACATAATAGCTATTGGGTGGATAATAAAACAACTGCTTAAAAAAAAAAAGGAAAGAAAAGGATTACTTTTCTTGGTTATCGTTAACAGTCAAATGTTGCTATGGATCTTTAAAGAGGACACTTAACCAACAAGAAACGAAAATTCTTTCCAGGAGGCATTTATTTTGGGTCGGAGGTGAGCCCCAACCTATAGCAATTAAGGAAAAACCTTATTTTTACTTATTCAAAGCTTAATTTATTGCAATCAAACATGACTATGAACATTATCATTTCCTTCAGTTTTCCTAACTAAACAACCATTAGTTAGCATATAAGAAAAAAAATTTTGGGGTAACCCCACGTGACCACCGGCATTAAGAATTTCAATAGTTAGGTAATATATGAACCCACGTTGACGGCACTGTATTTTGAATTTAATCATGCATGCAACTATATCACTGAAACATGTAAATTTGTATAAAAATAAGTTAAATAATTAAAATTTCTATAAAAAAGCTAGCTCTAGACATTTTGTTTACGCCAAAGGTGTGGCAAGTTCCCTGGAAAGGTCCAGCTTTAATAGAACACTAATTAAACTCAAGAACTAGCATTGGGTTAATCTGCTATCCACCTAAACGGCTGCTCGTTATTGGTAATGAACCAACCGACTGAAGGTTCGTGCATATGGCTTTAAAGAATTGTTTAATCATAATCATCTTCCACACGTGAGCATTTGTTTTTCCAGAAAGCTTATATCTTTTTCAACTTCTTGATAGTGCAATCCATGGATAAAATATTATCAAGGCTTGGAGCAGTTGGAGTAAATTATTGCAGAGGGTCAAAAAGTTGTATTTGCCTTGGCACGCCACTTCTCATCCTGGAAAGGATCAGATGCTATAGACAGATTGCTGCCAAGTCATGGTTCTGTTCAAGTATTTGGCTTAGAGAAAATTTCTTCTTAGCACATGTTTAACCAATTCGATTTTGTCTTAGATTTTGAAACCTTCCACGCAAACTGGATATTCTTTCCATAGTTGAACTAACATAAGCTTAAAAAACTGGGATAGATATCCTTTTCACTATTATAAACTAGAAATAATTTGTTACAATTAAGACAGTTTGTATGCTTGGGAATCTTTACTTCTTTGTTGACAAACATTCCTCAGAATTTTTAGACCCCAGTTGGACATTACAATGGAAGAAACAAATGCATAGTTTGCTTTCACCTTTGAACTGATCTAGTCTTCTTTATTTTCTAGAATATGCATGTTGAGGCTTTTGGAAAACAGAGAAAAGAGGCAAATTTGCTCAAACATTTAGCCTAAGTCATATTCATCAAAAACAAAACAAAACATAAAAGAAAGCTGCGAAGGCCTCCCCAGCCCTGCCCCTGAGACTAGTGCCAGATTTTGGTGAATAATTATGAGTATGATTCAACTTAATCATTAGAGATGAGGGGAGAAAAAGCATGAACGTATATTAGGAAAATTTCTTGCACGTTCTCTCTTTTGCATACATAATTCTCTTGTTTTGTTAAAGCTATACCGTGGCATAATTGAATTTTAGATATAACTAGCACATAGAATTGATTTATAATTAAGATCGATTGCTAACTTATTAAATTATATTTCTTCTTTGACGTCTCCTTTTTTGAATTGAAATAATAATAAAATTTGATTTGATTTTACTTCATTTGATTCAACATGTTTACGCAGGAGGTAGACATCCGATAAAATAATTTGAGTCTAATTATAAAATAAAATAAAAAGAAATGTAGCCATAAAGTGGGAATTTACTTGGACCTAAGTGCTTGGTTCCCTCAGTTCTGCTTTAATTATAAATCTTCAATGAATCACCTAATTCTTGTCATACCTACGAGTCTCTGGGAGCTTCAGTCTAACCTACAATTCTCCACAATGACCTTTTGAAGGCAACAGCCACACGTTATGTCCCTGTTAAATTTTCCAATGCTGCCTCTAATTGCTTGGACAAGAGCAAATCGTACCTTTGGTCAAATTTGGTGCAATTCTTCCCCATGTAACATTGTCACAACCTGTATCAAGGAGGAGATGGATGTGTCTATAAATATCCAAGCCTGCGTGGTGGATCAGGACATAAGTCATAGAACTCGACCTCCGAGGCTTTTCAAAAGTTCAGTTTTCCCTTCAAGGCTCTTAAAAAGTTATAGTAGTATACACAAATTCCATTTAGCTTAGCACCACTATATATGGAAGGAGCAAAGGATCGTCTGCAACCTCCAACTTATGGAGACTTGATCACCATTCTCAGCATTGACGGCGGTGGAATACGAGGGGTTATCCCTGGAACCATCCTTGCTGTCCTAGAATCCGAACTTCAGGTACATTGGGTCTACGTACACACAGAGGCACATATATGAAAAAATGTTGCTATATGTGCATGCATATATATGCAAAGCAAATTTAAACAGAACCCTAATTACGTTGCCCTTTTGCTTATAATCCTTCGTCTGCTAACTCTAGATATGTTTTGGCTATTGCACAGAAGCTGGATGGTGAGGATGCAAGACTCGCAGACTACTTTGATGTGATTGCTGGGACTAGCACAGGCGGCCTGGTGACAGCCATGCTAACTAGTCCAAATGAAAAGAATCGACCTCTATTTGCTGCCAAAGATATAAAGGACTTTTACCTAAATTACTGTCCTAAAATCTTCCCCCAACCAGGGTATACCTCTTCGTTTCTATGTACAATGATCAAGATCTCATTGTTTAAATTCTTTTACGGTTATTGTTGACCTTTTTTTTTTTTGTTTTGGATTACCAGATGTCCATTATTTGCTCAAACATCAAAGGTTATCAAAGCTCTATCGGGACCAAAATATGATGGGAAGTTTCTGCATAGTATTGTTAAAGAGAAACTAGGAGACACGAGATTGCATCAGACATTAACTAATGTTGTTATCCCAACATTTGACATCCATCATCTCCAGCCAACCATCTTTTCTAGCTATCAGGTTTTTATTCTCTTCAAAACTCACCTTTCATCATGAACCTTAACATATCATGTTAATTAGATTAATATGAATTAGTTCTTATTATGATGTTGGGTTTCAACCAGGTGAAGAACAAACCTACTTTAGATGCCTTGCTCTCAGACATATGCATTGGAACCTCAGCTGCACCAACATATCTCCCCGCCCATTACTTCAAAACCGAAGACCAGAAAGGGAACATGAGAGAATACAACCTCATAGATGGTGGTGTGGCTGCAAATAACCCGGTACACATCTCAAAGATTTATCTCTGAATTAATAATAATTTGTTTTGGCTACCAACATATCTACTTACGTTTATATTTTGGACCTTCCAGACTTTAGTCGCTATGGGCGAAGTGTCCAAGGAAATCATTAAGGGAAACGCCGATTTCTTTCCAATTAAGCCCATGGACTATGGAAGATTTCTGGTTATCTCCTTGGGGACTGGTTCTCGAAAAGCCGAAGAGAAATACAGTGCAAAAGAGGCAGCCAAATGGGGTCTGTTAGGTTGGTTAACCAGCGGCGGTTCCACCCCATTAGTTGATGTATTCACCCAGGCAAGTGGAGACATGGTCGACCTCCACCTTTCTGTCGTATTCGAAGCCCTCCACTCTGATAAATACCTCCGTATTCAGGTACATGCTTTTTTAAGTCAAGCTACGCTTTCCAGTGGTGGAAAACTGTTGCTTCTCAACAACATGGCCATATTAATATCTTTGAATTTTCTTCACCCGTTTCAGTCCTTGTGTCGACAATTGATGAAGATAGGAAAACATTTTCTCTTCGCTGCTGTTACTAACATGGTTGAATTGTAAGCAGGATGACACATTAAGTGGGGTTGTATCTTCCGTTGACGTAGCCACGAAGGAGAATTTGGATGAACTCGTGAAAGTTGGTCAAGCACTGCTGAATAAGCAAGTTTCCAGAGTTAACTTGGAAACCGGCGTCTTCGAGCCTTTCTCTCAAGAGACTAATGAAGAAGCTCTTAAAAGGTACGACAGAATCCTCTTGTTGCCTAATTTGCATACATTAATACTCAACTATTTGTATTTATTCGGAGAATTTTTTCTATCTTGTATTCATAGGTTTGCGACACTACTTTCCCAAGAGAGGCGTTGTCGCCATTCTAGGTCACCCCAAGGAAAGGATGGAGTACATCAAAATGGTGTTAAGAATTAGTGGTTTTTCCTAATATTGTAAGCTCTTGCAGCACAAATAATTCAACTCTGTAATTCTTTATTTGTTTTTTAGCTTGAATAAATCCCCAATGGGATAACATTTGACAATAATGGATTGTAAGTGTTTCTTTAATAAAAAATTCTTTTATAATGCCAATTTAATTTACCCGTCTAATCTGATTTTAATTAATTTTTCTCTCATATGTAATCTAATAAATTGTTATTCAATCAAGAAAAATAATCTCATAAATCGTAATTTAAAAATATAAATTTTTTAAATACAAAAATGAATGACTAATTTAAATGATTATATATATAACATATTACAAATTTCTCGTTATTGACCGAAATATATAAAGTCATAATACAATGCATTTAGCAATGTCTATGATCATTAATTCGTGAGTACAACTTAAAAAAACAAAAATTTCTGATTATTAGTAAATTTGAAATTTTATTTTCCAACCAAAATAAATCGTACAAAATTTTCTTGAGTTGACCAATTCTCCCTTCCTCGTTTATCAATTTCGATCCCTTTGACCCATATTTTCCACCAAAAATTGTACTGAAACATGATTGTAAATGGTCCACACTTCAAAGTTCTTAGCCATAAAAACCCAGCTAACGTGAGGAAATCATTAAGGATGTTGAGAAAAAGACAGTACTTACAAAAACAAAACAACAAATCAATTTTATGGAAATGCGTCACAGTTGTGATGCTTGGTTCTCATGGCAATAGCAGTAAAACATTTTTAGCCATGTTTGACTGTAAATGCGGTATATGGTCCAGCAGAAATGGACACCATCGACGGTGAATGCAGCAAACCTTTGGCTGGGCATCATCGACGGCCAATGTAGCAAACCTTTGGCAGTCTTCGTCATTTGCTCATTTGATTTCGCCTTGCCCATATGTATAGTAATCTCTACTCGTCAACTTAGATTGTGACAGCTACCAATGATTCCACTTATATGGCCTTTTGACAAGTTTTCAGTCAAGGTTCCGATACCATTAAATTTTGCATGGCTGCTTCCTCAACATGGAAAGACAAGTTACTTACCTTAATTAATTGGATTCTTTTTCTTATTTCTTAGATTTAAGAATGCAAACATATATATTATATAGGAATAACAATAATCGAGACGTATGACAAACAAATATTAGATAAAATATTTGATTACGGGCAATTTTTATTTGGGATTAATATTTTCTTATATGAATAAATCATACATATGGTTTAGCTCAATTAATATGCATTAAACAATTTTGAAAATAAAATAACTAAAAGAAATTCATTTTGACAGTAAATAATCAGGGATAAGATCAAAAATTTATTCAAATTCTTAATAGTATGTTTATTTTTTTAGAGATTTCATTAATATTCAACTATACGTAAATAAAATTACTTTTTTTTTTGAAAGAAGTAAATAAAATTACTTATAAAACACTTGAAAGAATAAAAGATTAAGACATATATATATATATATAATTTGAAGGGAGTAAAACACAGTTCCAACTACTTCCAACTGATCAGTTCTACTTTGTGGTAAGGTTTCCAGTTGGTGATCTCGTGTCACGAAGCCGCTTCTCCTGAGATAGCACTTTAGCTAATCTGCAGATAATCCAAAATTAAAATTAGCACCATATTAATATGATAGTAGAATATAAAATATAAGGTGTTAATAATTACATATATAATAGACAGTCAATTAAAATTCTGAAATTAGAATATAGTTCTTGATTATACCTGATGAGAGCGTTTTCATTTGTGTCTTGAGTATTAATAGGTTCAAATTTACCATTGTCCAAATTCACTCTAGAAACTGGTTTTTTCAGCAATTCTTCCCCAACTTTTACAAGGTTCTCCAAGTTTTCTTTTGTAGCAATATCCACAGATGAGACTGTCCCACATAGTGTATCATCCTGCAATTTTTTTTTTGTTTTGCTATAGGTTAAGTATAATTTCTCTGATTGTCTCTAAGTTACAATTCGAAAAATGAATCTGTACATATACCTGAATTCGGAGATATTTGTCTTCAGATTGAAGTGCTTGGAAAACAGTAGCAATGTGAAAGTCGACCATGTCACTGCTAGCTTGCATGAACACATCCATCAATGGAGTGGAGTGTTGAAAGGTCAGCCATTCCAAGAGACCCCATTTTGAGGCCATAGGAGCAGGGTATTTCTCTGCACATTTTTGGGAACCAGTGCCCAAGGACAAAACCAAGAAACGAGCAAAGTCGTTTGCCTTTGTAGGAAAGGAATCAGAATTCTTGCGAGTGATTTCTTTGGTCACTTCGTTCATAGCTACCAAAGTCTGCAATAATTGATTAAGAACATTATGATTAAGATTTCTGTGAAACTTGTAACAGGAATAACATTAGGCCCAAAACATTATATATATATATATATATATATATACCGGATTATTTGCAGCAACTCCACCATCAATAAGATGGAATTCTTTAGCTTCGCCATTGGAATTTTTAGTTTCAAACTGATGGGCAGGAAGATAAGTTGGCGCTGCAGAAGTTCCGATGCATATATCAGAGAGCAAAGCATTTTTGCAGGGGTTGTACTTCACCTACACAATGATAATGCAAAATAATCATGTAAATAATCAGAGATCACATAAATTGCGAAGGAAAATAAGAAATCTGTTAGAGGGTATTGATGGGTAACGAACCTCATAGGAGGAGAAGATTTTTGGCTGGAGTTGTTTGATGTCAAATGTCGGGATCACAACATTTGTCAATGTCTGGTGCAATCGGGTTTCTCCCAACTTTTCCCTCACAATATTGTGCAGATATCTGCCATTATATTTTGGTCCAATAAGGGATTTAACCAAATTTTCAGCAGGTGCAAATGGTGAACTGTAATGTAACAGACAAAATTATGTCAGCAACTACATGACAGAGATTTTTCTTTCTCTTTATTTTCATCCACAAGCTTGAGACGATTACCGATCTTGGGGGAAGATTTTAGGGCAGTGTTCCAGGTAGAATTCATTGATATCTTTAGCAGCAAAAAGAGGGCGATTGCCCTCATTCGGATTTGGTGTGGTTAGCATGGCAGTCACGAGGCCACCAGTACTAGTCCCACTAATGACATCAAAGTAATCTGCCAGTCTCGCCTCGTCACCATCCAGCTTCTGCAAATAGCCATAAGCATGATTATTAACATACAAGAAGAAAACTGTTATCAGTATATATGAAGGCACTATACTTTAATGAATCAAAAACTTTTTTCTAGCTACCTGAAGCTCAGACTCTAAAAAGGCAAGAATAGTTCCGGGGATAATCCCCCTAATTCCACCACCATCAATACTAAGAACAGTGATTAAGTTCCCATAGGTGGGAGCTTGTAGGAATGATTTTGGACTTGTCGTAGGAAAAACATTGGCTTTTGGGATAGTCCCCATTATGATAAGGGAGAGATGTTTGCAGGTTTGAGGACCTTAACTAATAATAAGCAGGGGAGAGTCGACCGAGAACAACAAAAGTTTCGAGCTTTTGTGTTTTCTCCTCTATTTGTCTACGTATTGATATCTATTAAGGATAAGTGTTTAGATATTTATAGGCATTTACCTTGTTTTTATTTATAAATTTTTAGTTTTAATTATTTGATTTGATTTAATATGATTTTATTGGTTTCTTGATTATGGAGAAAAATTAGGTGATGAGATACTTTAGGAATTTGCCATAGTTTCCTTTTTTTTTTAATTTTTTTCCAATTTTTGTAATTCTTTCCTTATGGAATTGGATCAAAATTAATAATAAGATAAATTCGGATAAATATGGTGTCTACAATGTGTAAGCTTTACTTGTATATCCTTTACTTGTTGCTCTTGTAATTATTTTTTAAGGGACATGTTATACTTTCAGATCAATTTTTTGTATCAATTTAACGATTTAATTGTGAAATTTTTTTTACCATCATTTATTTAATACATTGGACTTTCCTCGAGTGAACAAAACAATGCAAACATATACAGTATATCAAAATAACAATAATTGAGAAGATGTGATAAATAGATATTAGATAGGTTATTTGATTATGAGCAATTCCTTTTTGGGATTAATGTTTTCTCAAAGGCATTAATGATACATATGGTTTAACCTTATAAATATGCATTCAATGAAGGTTGAAAATAAAATAATTAAAAGAAATTCATTACAAGGCAAATAATCAGGGATAAGATCAGAAATTCATTCAAATTCTTAATAGCATACTAACTTTTTTTTTTGAGATTTTATTGATATTTTAAAAAGAATACAAAAATTAATTATAAGCTAGGAATTAAACCTAGCATTAACAAAGAATTGAAAATTTCATCTATACGAAAACAAAACTACTTATAAGATACTTGAAAAAATAGAAGATTAAATACGTCTTAAGACTTAAGAATTTCTTGCTCCACGTAAAAAATTAGTGAAAGGAAAACACAAAGGCACCACACCACAGGGCGTATAGCACACTTCCAACTGGTCAGTTCTTCTTTGCGGCAAGGTTTCTAGTTGGTGATTTCCTGTCACGAAGTCGCTTCTCCTGAGATAGCACTTCAGCTAATCTGCAGATTAAAGGTTAAGACATATAATCCGAAATTAGCACCATTTTAATATGATAGTAGAATATATAATATGTTAATAATTAGATATAACAGACAGTCGAATTAATAAAACTCTGAAACTAGAATAGTTTCTGATTGTACCTGATGAGAGCGTCTTCATTTGTATCTTGATTATTACTAGGTTCAAATTTACCATTGTCCAAATTCACCCTAGAAACTGGTTTTTTCAGCAATTCTTCCCCAATTTTTCCAAGGTTCTCCAAGTTTTCTTTTGTGGCAATGTCCACAGATGAGACCATCCCGCATAGTGTATCATCCTGCAATTATGTTTTGTTTTGCTATAGGTTAAGTATAATTTCTCTGATTGTCTCTTAGTTACAATTCGACAAATGAACCTATATACATACCTGAATTCGGAGATATTTGTCTTCAGATTTAAGTGCTTGGAAAACGGTAGCAATGTGAAAGTCGACCATGTCACTGCTAGCTTGCATGAACACATCC